TTCGAGAAGATTTTTATAATTTTGAGATATTAGCTTATTATTATTTAATTTTTTTTTTCAATAGTTGATATTATTTTTAATATTTTTAAAAAAATTGAGAGAAAATAAATGATTTAAAAAGGAGCAATTGATACTAGATGATCAATATCAAGACAAAAAAAATATGATGATCAATACCTAAGTAAGTTAGTAATTTTTATTTCAATCAATAATCTTGATTTTTTTTAATTTTGTGAACTTATGGTCAATTAATAAATTTTGAATTATAAAATTTTGAATTAATATTAAAAATTATTGAGGTTTAAAATGTACTATAGGATTTTTTAGAATTTACTTAAGATTTGGCTAGGTTTTTATTATGATTTAATAAAAACTTAATTTTTAGAATTTACTTTATATTTAATAAGTAAATTATAGAACATATTTCATATTCAAAACCATAATTATAAGTCTTAGAGTGAAGCCATTATAAATTTTATTTGTATAAGAAATATATATATATATATATATATATATATATATATATATATATATATATATATATATATTATTAGTATTTTTGCATCAATGATATAACAATAAACCTAGAATTGAAGACAAACTTGTATTTCACACATGACAATTTTTGCATTTATTACATATGCAAAGATATCAAATTTTATGAAATCCAACTTTGATGCTAAAGGTACAAAATTTTTGTTCTTAATTTATTATATAGGTACTAAGATATATAGATTAATATATTTGAATAGCAAAAAAATCATTAAAATTTTTGAAGTGGAATTTGTAAAGCATGAGATTACTCATAAGCATTTGGAAATATTTTTAAGTATGAGTAAAAATATATTTAAGGACACAATCTTCTAAAAGAAAAAGAAGAAAATAAAGAAGATAAAGCAAAGATATTAAATGAAAAACCTAACACTTTTAAGGACAAAATTTTATTAATCCAAAAAATAGGCAATAAAGATTTATAAATAGGAGAAGATATAATATATGAAGATTAACCTTCAATTGAAAAAATATATCTTTAAAAAAAATATTATTAGAAATAATGGCATTCAATAAAATTAATTTTTATTCAATAAAAAAAAATTAAATGAAAGTAAGAATGTCACTTGGTGAATGTTAGAAGAGCCATATATATTTTTTTAAGTAAATGAAGAACATAAAAATGTTATTCTTTTTGTTGATTTCTTGCCTTTATGTGTTACAATAAAGTTCCAAGATATAATGAAGTCTGAAAATACCATAGAAGAATAATATTGATTTTTGTAAGTAATAATATATAAGAATTGGCTTATCTTTCAACAAATCAATCTAATATTGGTTGTAAGTGGATATTTCAGACCAAAAAGAATACAATGAGTGTGATGGTAAGGCACAAGAAAAGATTAGTTGCTAAAAAATATTCACAAGTTAGTATTGATTCTAATGAGACTTATACACTCCTTGCCAAATTTACTACTATTAAGACTATTGTAGCAATTAAGACAATAATAGACTTATAAATATACCAAATAGATGTTAAGAAGGTCTTTTTGAATTAAAAATTACAATAAGATAATTATATGGACCAACTTTACTAATTTATACAAGAAAGCAAAAAAAAACATTATGTGCAAGTTGAAGAAAAAATTTTATAGGTTGAATTAATTATCAAGAGCATTTTAAGAACTTAATAATGCATCATTCATCAATGAAGGATTTATAAGGAGTAAATCTGATTATTCCTTTTATATGATGGAATCTAAAGTGTTTTTGTTAATTGTAATTTTTGGTGTTGATGATTTAATCATCTTAGCTAATAATATAAAAAAGATAAATTGAATGAAGGCTATACTAGAAAAAATATATAAATGAGTGATCTAGGAGAGTTGACTATTACTTTGATATTGAATTTGTAGGAAAGTGTAATAATCATACCATTGCAATAAGTAAGCACATTGAAGATATATTAAAAATATTCAACTTAGACGAGCACATATTAATTGCAATTTTACTTGAGAAAAATTTGAAGTTGATGAAGTTTACTAATGAGAAGTTTGTATAAGTTGAAAGTAAGATGTAAAGTATTTTATATAAGGAAACATAAGATTTGCTTATATATGCAATTGTAGCTGTAAGAGTGGATCTTGCATTTGATGTGAGTATTGTGAACTAACACATGTCTAAAGTTGGATCTTTCCTTTAGGCAACAACAAAAAAGATCATGATATACTTAAAAGGCCCAAAAGACTTTAAATTATGCCTTAGAAATAAAAAAATTGATTGATAAGGTTATTGTGATGCAAATTAGATTAGATATGCAAATAATAAATGATCTATGATAGAATTTGTATTATTTATTAAGATAGGAGTTATCTTATAGAATTGCAAGATATGACCGATCATTGCAAGATTAACCATAGAAGCTAAGTACATCATTACAAATCATTATGCAATAGAAGTAATTTGAGAAAGAAAATTCTTTGAAAATATTAGTTTTATACAATTAGAAGCAACTTTGATTATGTGTGATAATTAAATATATCTTACATTGTCAAGAGTCTAAAATACAAATGAAGAACCAAACACATTAATATTCAACATTATTTCAAAAGAAAAAAGATTGAAGATGGTATAATAGATATAAAGTATTGTATTATAGAAGTTATGCTTATTGATGTACTTACAAAGATATTAATAAAATATAGACATTACTAGTTAATAAAGATATTAGGATTGAAAGTCTTTTAACAAGTAGCAAAGTATGAATGTTGAAGATCAATGAACCCAAGATTAGTTACCACTACTTAGAATTTAACCTTAATAAGTTTCTAATGGTCAAAAGATAGTAAAAGCTTAGATAAGATTATTAAAGTGGTAGCTAAAATTTTAGGCAGAAATTATGTTAAGAAGAATTTAGGATTTTATTAAATAAAGAAAAATAGGATGAAGATGATTATAGATGAAGTTTATCTATATTAAATATAATCTCCCGCTTATAAGTAAAAGATATTAGAAATAAGAGTCATGTTATTCCATACTTCTCTTTATGTGCAACCTTATTAATACTAAGTGTTGAAAGTTCCTACTTCTTTATTCTTCAATATATTTCTATATATCATCAAAATGTATAAAGTTTTTAATATTATGATGTTTTTATGTTTTTTTTTTTTTGACATCTTGCTCATAAATAATTATTAAAGTTGTAGTTTATGAAAGTAATTTCTATATGTATATTAAATTTTAGTTTGGAAAATAATACCATATTATAAAGTAAATAAAAATCTACAAACCTTTGAAATAAATTAAATATTTTTAATGCTTTAATTAACAATCAATAAAAACTTTCAATTACTTCTTTTTGAGAGGTGAAATGGGAATCACCATAAGCATTGTATCCATGAAGTTTAGGATATTTTTTTGAAAATGCAAAAACAAAGAGTAGTACACAATGAACTTTGAATTATTCGGAAAATAAATAAATAAATGTAATATTGATTCATTTAAAGTACACTTAACTATGCTAAATATTTTATGAAACACAATGTTGAATGGTACATTTTTCTTACTTAAGTTCTGTGTATTTGGATTTTGTGCATATTTAAATGCTTGTTTGTAATTTTTTTGGGGGTAGAAAATTGCATATTAAAAGAATCAGAATTTTTGAATCTAATCATCAACAATTATACATTTATTTATCTTCTAACAAAATATCATGTCAATGTAATTTTGTTTATTCATGATATTTTTTTAAAGATTTTATCTCAAATTTTGAGCATGCATTCTACACTTAATATTTAATTTAAAGCTACACACCAATGCCAATTCTGCATGAATAATATCCAACACATTTTTTCTTGAAAAATAAACAAGAAAAACCAAAATATTAATAATTTTCATGCTTAAAAAAATTCAACTTGGTTTCTTTCCAAAAAAAAACCTTAATTACGTTGAATTTTTTATTATTTCTATGTTCAAGTTATGCTAATATTCAAGTAACAAAATCATCATAAAATCTTACCTAAGTTGATTTCAAGTCATTTTTTTGTTATTTTTAATTCTAAAAAAGAGACTTTATGTTTTCGTGAACATAAACCTAAAAGCTACCATGGGATAAATAAACAAAAATGGTTGTTACAATCCACTCAAGTTGTGCCACAATGAGGCAGTTGAAGACAATACCCAGAATCATTCTAGAACTAAACGGGAACACCGAAAAGGGGGCAATGAAAGGAGCAAACGTGATTGCCAAGTAGACCCAGTGTGGTCCAGTTGCTTTCATTTCATTGACTAATTCAGTGGCCCACATTACAAAGTCTGATGCCCTCTTGAAGTAAAACACTAATTCGTCAACGAGTTCTTCATCACCTCAAAAGTGTTGGGCTCCATTCCATTGACCAAAACTTTCACTTCCACACAAAGGGGGTCAAAGTTGGGTCCTTGTACGAATTGCCACTCTGCACACACACACACAATAAATTAATAAATTAATAATTAAATCATGCATAGTACCCACACAATAACAGTTTTCGCATGACCATCCACAATACAATATTGATGGATGAATTCATTGTGGAAAGTAAACACATAAGCACGAAACGGTATGTAATGCAAAATTTTAATTCGGAAACCGGAAGCTCATTTGAATTTTATAACTACACTATTAACAATCATCTCAAAAAGAAAAAAGGTGACAGTCAAACGAAAAGATCGACGAACCCACATACGACCTGTCGAACAAACCAACGAACGACCGAACAAACGAGCCACCGAACGAGGTAACGAACGAACCAACGAACGAAGTCTCGATCGGCGAGAGCGTCGAGGTTTTGAGTCCGTGTTGCAGGATTGACTGCGGGAGGCGGAGTGTGACAACCAAGACGGGTTCCGTTGCTTGCGAGAGGCGAGAGAGTGAGAGAGTACGAGGTTGCGGATTGGTAGCGGCCTGGGCGTTATTGGGCGGAGGCTGTCTGGAAGGTGGCCCCACTTATTTCTACCAAGTGGGGTGCACTTGACCTCGTTCAATTTCGCTTGGTTTGCGGCCCCTGCTCCCCTGCCCCCTTCTCTCCCTCTCTCCGTCGTATTAGGTCTTTTTCCCATTACGCCATTACTACCCTGGTCTCTACCGCGGGGTCCTTTCCTCACCAAACTCTTCAGCGGACGGTTGGTCAATGAGAGGTCGCGTGGATCTCCTCGCGGCTCTGCCCGTCTCGATTGGTATTACCCCCCCCCCCCCATTTGGACTCCATTGCATGCTCCCACGCTTTTCGTGTTCTCAAATCGCCCACGTCGCTGTGTGCCGCGACTCATGTGCTCTCCAGCTGCGTGTTGGGCTTGAGTGTCAAGGAGCACCGTGGCTCCTCAGCGGGTGTGGGCTTCTTGAGAAGCGTGTGAGGAGTTTGTGAGAGATTCTGATTGTTTTTGATTGACAATTCAGTGCGAGTGTAGTAGGAATTTTTGTGGAGTGGAAAGGGCTGCGTCGTGTGTTTCGTTGGTGGAATTTTGGGGATATGTGGGTTTGGAGAAAGGGAATTGGTTTGGGAAGTTTGTGAAGCAAAGATGACGAGCGTGAAGATGGCGCTGTCGTTTATGCCCCCGGCTTTCAGCATTTTTGAGGTATGGGCATCCGTATTGTTGGTCACTGCGGTGGCGTTTTTTATATGGAGGCAGCAGGGAGAGAAAAAAGCTGTCGAGACGAAGCCTGTGGTGGCGAAGCCGGTACAGTTAGATGAGGAGTTTGAGGATAGCTCCGTGAAGCGAGTGACAGTATTCTTCGGGACTCAGACTGGTACAGCGGAGGGGTTTGCGAAGGCGATTGCTGAAGAGGCCAAGTCGCGGTACGATAGCTCCTCCGTGGTGTTTAAGGTCGTGGATCTAGATGATTACGGCGCGGATGATGAGCAGTACGAAGCAAGGTTGAAGAAGGAGAGCTTAGCGTTGTTTATGGTGGCGACCTATGGTGATGGTGAGCCAACTGACAACGCTGCGCGGTTTTACAAGTGGTTTGTTGAGAGTGGGGAGGATCAGCAGATAGGGTTGGATGGGTTGAAGTACGCTGTGTTTGGGTTGGGGAACCGACAGTACGAGCATTTTAACAAAGTCGCGAAGAAGGTTGATGAGGCATTGACGCAGCAAGGTGCGCAACGGATCGTAGAAGTGGGACTCGGTGACGACGACCAGTCCATAGAGGATGACTTCACTGCCTGGAAGGAAAAGCTGTGGCCCGAGCTCGATGGTTTGTTGACGACTGAGGACGCCCCCACGACTCCCCATGCGCCTTATCAGGCCGCTGTCGCAGAGTATCGGCTGGTCACTTACGAGCCTGGAACCAAGCTTTACGTGGAGGAGTACGCTGCCAAGAAAAATGGGCAAGCTGTGTACGATGCCCTCCACCCCTGCAGGGCAGACGTGGCCTTCGTCAAGGAGCTACATAAACCTCTCTCTGACAGGTCATGCACCCATTTGGAGTTTGGCATTGCAAACACAGGCCTGTCGTATGAGACCGGCGATCATGTTGGAGTCTACGTGGAGAACAGCCAGGAGGATGTTGAGGAGGCCGCTAAGCACTTGGGTTACCCTCTTGATACTATCTTCTCCCTCCATGTGGATGCAGAAGAGGGGCAGCTTTTATCAGGGTCTCTTCCGCCCCCGTTCCCAGGGCCTTTGCTGCTTGAGACAGCACTGCGCCGTTATGCTGATTTGCTCAGTCCTCCTCGCAAATCCGTGCTGTCTGTGTTGGCCGCATTTGCCTCCGACCCGGAAGAGGCCGAGCGGTTGAAGCATCTGGCGAGTCTGCTCGGTAAAGAAGAGTACACGAAGTGGGTGGTGGCTAGCCAGCGGAGTCTGATCGAGGTGATCGCTGCGTTTCCCTCAGTGAAATTACCTCTCGGTGTTCTCTTCGCTTGCGTTGCGCCACGCCTGCAGCCACGGTTTTACTCCATCTCATCTTCACCCAAATTCTCCCCGACCAGAATTCACGTCACCTGCGCGCTTGTATATGGTCCGAGTCCCACGGGACGCATTCACCGTGGTGTTTGCTCCACCTGGATGAAGAATGCACGCTCTAAAGACACTTATGGTGCGGATGACTGCAGCTGGGCTCCCATTTTTGTCCGCCAGTCGAATTTCAAACTACCCGCAGACTCGACTATCCCAATTGTGATGGTTGGGCCAGGAACCGGATTGGCTCCATTCAGGGGTTTCTTGCAGGAAAGAGCTATGCTGCAGGAATCAGGATCAACGCTGGGACCGGCTAAGTTCTTCTTTGGTTGTCGCACTCGTACCCAGGACTTTATCTACGAGGAAGAGCTCAACGCCTTTGTTGAGAAAGGGATCACCGAACTAACTGTAGCCTTCTCGAGGGAGGGTCCGAGAAAGGAATATGTCCAGGACAAAATGCTGGAGCAAGCAGGAGAAGTGTGGAAATTGATTAGAGAAGGTGGATACCTGTATGTCTGTGGGGATGCGAAGGGGATGGCTAGGGATGTACACAGGATGTTGCACACCATTGTGCAGCAGGAAGAGGGCGTGACGAGCTCGGAGGCGGAGGCCGTTGTGAAGAAGTTGTCACTGGATGGGCGTTACCAGCGTGATGTGTGGTAATCCTTCTACTCGGCACGAGTGTTGCAAACCAGTGCCAGGGATTGAGATGGTTATAGTTTAGTTAGAAAATATAGCCTATAAGGGAACATTATACTAATTAGGTCAATCGGATGGATACACAGAGGGTAGTGCGCACATTGTGCAATGCAGATTTGGAAGTTACGCTTATCAGTTGTAAGGTATTAATGTAGTGAATAGGCCTCTCGAGTATGTATAGTGTCCTTGATTTGCAACGGGGACAAGACCTTGTACTTGCCAGTGGGAATTGTCCTCTGGTCATCTTCAGATCTCTTGCTGGGAGGAAGCTCGCCAGTTTCACGTATTTTATTTTTCGTAACTCAGTTTCTTGGCGTTTCGAGTTTTGTCACCCATGCGATGTTCCAATCCGATGGGCCGAAACCAGAGGACAGTTGCGGGTATCTTCTCCAGTGTGTTCGGCGAGATGGATCTGTTTCGGTAGCGCTCAATGACCAGGTCATATGATGCTGTTGTTCAGTTTAGTGGATAAAGACTCAATTCCTTGCATATCAGTTGACAGAAGTTGGACTGTCCATTCTGAAGTCAAGAACGAGTTTCTGAATTGTTGCTAGCGGATCTCCATCAATCTCTTTCCATCCGCTGGAGCGAACTTTGCAGCTGGACTTATCTAGGTCTTATCGATTGAGCTATTGTCTGACCATACTTATTTCAGTTTTATTGAAGCAGTGAATTACTTATGATTGAAATTTAAAAAATTCAAAAAAACTTTTTAGTAGAGAAATATCCTAACAGCTACAATGCTGTTTTATTAGCGCGAACCACCAGGCGGACTTTTTTACAGTGATCACGCCTCGGTTTGCAAGAGGATCGAGCATCTAGAGAAAGGATGTCATTTTCTATTATTCTAACACATCTGCTCCGATGCTTAGATTCGTTCCAGTGCATTGGAAAGCCAAGTATTCTGGGAGTTTCGTCGTAATGGATGGGATGTGGGTCAATGTGGGGACGATGGGTAGCCAGTTGCATGCTAGCCGGTTCAAATATTATTTTTCCCTATTAAAAAAAATCAAATCGACCTGAATTTCAGAAAAAATTTAGCTTTGCTAATGAGATGGTAGGGGTCTTAGCTGGTCCTTATACACCTCCCCGGAAGCTGCTGCGGGTCATTCGAATTTCATAGGACTTTGCAGATTATGGTCATAATGGCCACTCTTATTACAGTGATTGCATCCGGCTGCACAGAAGACAAAATTTTGCCCGAATGCCCTTAACATTCTGCTCCATGCCGTTGGAGGTTAAGTTCTAAGGAAGTCAGCTTTGGGAAGCTATCAAGTCATGTCACGCGTTTTGTGTTGAATTGTGATATGCTCCAAGTGGATTCAGGGCCAAGTTTTGTATCAAAATAATTTGCTATTTGTCCTGATGAGAACTACTGCTCTGAGCGCAGATGCAGGGTAGGGCTTCACCCACCGCCCTATGCTGAACACTAGAAACTGCCGATACCGGCTTGAAGTTTGTGTATAGCTCTTTATAATTGCTTACAAGAGATTATTTCATGATTCCATGAAAACTCATACGCTCAAAATGACTGGATCACAAATTTCTGTAACCTGCAATTCTTTCAAAACTTGGGACTTTCTTCTACCGACTCTTATTTCTTCTGAATATGGATTTTTGATGTGGAATTTGGTTCAGTATAATGAAAATCCAGTCATAGCCACTAAAAGATCCACACCAAGTGCGCGTCTTTTGTGAAAAGCTTTTTACGCTACCAGGTTGACACGCAACTTTGCTCTAGTTTAGACTTCTCAGACGTCTGTTCCATGCTGTGTTGCAGTTTGCTACAACGTTTTCTTCAAGAAACTTTTCTATTGAATTGTAGGTATTTGTTAAGGTTACATATTAATTTTGATTCTATTTCCGAAATTCTGGTAGGATGCTGGAGTAGGCGTTGGGGTGTGAAGCAAGTTGTTTGTGGAACATAAGCGAAATTTTCAATTGGAAGCACCCACTTACTCGCTTTTTATTAGAAATGAAATCCCTGAAGAAAAACTTCTTGTTCATGAAGATATTTAACACGATTGACCAGCTTGTAGTTATTGTAGACATTGTGTACTTCAACTCTAACATGAATTTGTATGACATCCTTGACGTCCTGTCCTCAAGAAACTGAACAATGTGCGATTGCATTGTTAGAAACCTCTCGTTCACCGCACCATGCTTTAAATGCTTCAAAACTCTGAACAATATTAACCCTAATCTGAAAATACATATGCATTCCAGAAGGCCACAATAGATTCATCACACGGATGTACATGATGGGAGTACACATACACACCAACAAAGTGTTCGTGCAGAATTGATGAGACCTAATCAGGTTATATTGTCAGTATGCCCAGTCCAAGGTATCCACACAATTGTAACACAAAATCAACTTGTTACATTTTTGTAGAACTAGATTTTGCTATACAAGCAACAAATGGTAGGAACCCAATAGCTTGTGAGAATTAGTAGTTAAATCATGAACTAATCCTCCTTGCAACCACCAAATAAGTGCTCAACTATAAACCAAAGAATTCTACAATTAAACTCAAATTTTCATAGCATGCATTTAGCATGTGAGTGTTAATACTTTCATAATCATGTGTTTCTTTTATTTTTTTTATACTGTTTTTATAAAAAGAATTATCTTCAGTTAATTTCTGTTCTAGTATCTACAAAATTATTGCCTCAAAAAGTTGTCTTGTAACTCCCAAAAGATTCTTTAACTATTTTATGATGCATAATTCAATAATGTTTGTAATCTTAGTCTTTGAGTTTTTTAATCCAACTTATTAAGAATAAAACCTAAACAAGTTACAAATATGTTTTCTCTTAAATCACTGCTTGTGAGTATCTTGGCTACTTAAGTATTATTTTAAGAAAAATTAATCAAAGCTGATCTATGTCATTTTGTTTAAAAAGCATAGTTTGAATTTTATGATTTTTTTTGCCGTATATCTATAAAATATCAAATACATGGTTAACTTATATATTATTTAAATTAATTTTATAAATTTTATTTTTAAATCTTAACTTAATAAGGGACAAAACAACATATAGAACACAAACATTAAGTCTTATTTACTTTATGCAATTATATATCATGCTCTATTATATTGCAATGCTTTTATTTATTCTTGTAATTTCATCCAAAAAGAAAGATTGGCGAGCTAATACAAATATATGCCAAATTGCAAAAACCACCTTATATATTTTAAAAAATGAAAAAAAAAAAAAAAAAAAAAAAAACTACTACAAAAGAGAAATTAATTATTATTAAAAAAGACATTATGTGTACACAAATTGTTAGGCATCATGTTTTATCAATCTAATTTACAGATACTTTTAAACATTTTTTTAATTTCTAAGTAAGATAGAAATATAATAAAATATAGAGTAATATTAGAAAAATATCTAAATTTTAAGAAAAGTTTGTATGATTTAACAACTGTATGAAAGTATTTTGGTAAAAGCCACCAACAAGAAACGATTTCTTAAAAAAAACTTTAAAAACTAAAAAATGTACTTTATTTATTAACTAGCATTTAGATACTTGTAAAAAATTATTAAATATATAAATAGATGTATGTAATCAATTATAATTTCTAAAAAAAAATTCAAAATAAATAAATAAATAATATTTTTTTTGTAAAAAGTATAAATTTTTTTACATAATAATCATAAATTTTTATTTTTTAAAAAAATAAAAAACAAAAAAACAAAGTTGCAATCAAAAGCTTTGAGAAATAAATTTCTATACATTTTATAATGCTTCTTGTTAAATGGGAAAATTATAGCAAATAAAAATAATAAATTAAATATATACAAAAAATATTTTTTTTTTTTAATTACCAAAGGGTAGCAATGATCTTCCGTTAATTTTATGCTTATTGATAAGTAAAATAGCAAGCTGAAGGATCTGTTATAAATCATAATATACGTAGAACTTTAAAAATTAAAACTTGAAGAAGAAATAATTTAAATAATAAAAAAATTCAAAAAACCATGTTTAAATTATAAATATAAAAACTCATGTTATTTTTAATACAAGCGTCAACTAATATATATTTAATAAGATTTATTCTTGATATTTGGTTGTTCCACCAGACATAGAAGGCATTACAAGTCTTGTTACTACTGAATTATAGACTTGCGTACTGAGCATAAATTTTATTCATGATATATGATTTTTAAAAAAGCTTACAATTATAAGATACATCCAGGGTTTTTAAATCCGAACTACAATATAAATTGATAGAAGAAAATAAAATAAACATACTTAAAAGTTTAAAGAGATGAAACAAGTTGTAACCATAATCATGCTGATAATAATAATCATGATCATAAAATAGTATTTGATTTAATTAATCTTAATTATATCTAATTTTTTAATCATAATAAATAACAAACAAGGATCTATAGGATTGCAATCTACATGAAATATTTCAAACATAACATGCATGCTTTGTTTACAATCATTTTATTTTTACAATTATATTAATTTAAATTTAAAATTATAACATTTTAATATGATTTTAAAATTATAAAAAATTAATAACTTATATATATTAAAATATTAAATTATTTAAAATTTTAAAAATGATAAAATAAACTTATCTTCCTTAATATCAATTGGTTTAATGAAATCATGCCTTGCAGTTAAAATTGTACTTCTTGCCACTTTTAAGACAACTCATATTCAGAACAAATTTCTTTAAAATAATAAATAATATATTTTAATAAAATATAATAAATTTAAAATTTTCATTATATATATATATATATATATATGTGCATACTATTCATATCATAAAGTAAGTTCATTATAGATACAAAGTGTCAATGGCTTACTATAAATTCAATAAAATAAATAATGTGTCAATATTTTTATTTTTTAATTCTTTTTCAAGTATGGATTGTCCTAATATTTATTTTATTAGAAAATATAATACAACGTAACTAACATAGTTATTTACTTTAAATTTTATTACATAATTCTAATAGAACATTTTTAAATAATGAAATATTCATTAATGAAGATACAATTTTAGTATTTTATGTACTACGAAGTCAAATAAAATATTTGATATAACTTGGGAAAAAAGGTTCGGAATAATTTGGCTAATAATTCAATAAAACACTGTACAAAAATACAATGGATTAACTATAACCATTTTTTTGTACAAAAAATAATGCTCCTTCTGATCTGAATAAAAATAATTCTAAATAAAATTTCACAATTTTATATATCCAATACGATGTACAACTTGATTTTTCAATGTATCTCGTTTAGATGATTTTGAAGTAAGATGCTGCATGTTGAATTCCCTTTTGTTATCTGTATGATGATTAACTATATGAGATTAAAGAGTTATGTAAGAGTTATTTTCATAGAATTCAAGTGATCTTTATGTACAAAGAAAATCTTTAAAACTAAGTGTTGAATTTAATGACACAATTTAAGGTCAAACAAGATATATATATTTTTTGGAAATTATTGGAAAGAATTGCTATATTGAAGCGGCTGATATTCAAAAGTAATAAATATGATAATTTAGGTAATTGACTTTTATATATTCCTTTATAATCTATAAAACTAAAATGATATTAAATTTTCTCCAAAAAATAAAAATAATAATAGAAGTAGAGCAAAGATATTTACAATTAATTATAATAAATCGTATTATTTGTATATTCTTTTGTGTTGCACAGATACCAAATTGATCATTTTATATCGATAACTAGATAATTCTAAAGACTAAAACTAAATGAACATCTCGATTATATCAACCATTTGGTGACAGAGAATATTCACCTTGTCAAATGAGCATACATTTATTAGTGTTGATTAAGAATAATAGTAAACATTTAAAATTTTATACATAATACTATTATATTTTAAATAAAAAGTAGGATAAATTTTAAATTAATGATATCAAAAATTTAATAACAGACAACACCAACTTTAAAACATAGATTTTAAAAAAAGGATTATGAATTTACAAGACTACTTAGATTTTTTTTTTGTATTTTTGAAATATTAAACATTGATTCTTATAATGATCATTGATGTAAACTATAATAGAGTTATTTTTACACCTTCTAATAAAATATCGATTTATAAGAAAAAATATTTAATTCTTCATTGGATATAAATTCATAAATGTATGGAATAATTATTTGAATTAAAAAACATATTTATCATAATTATTTATTTATTTACATTTGCTTTGAATATTAGACACAATATTAATTATGATAGATCTATGTAACTGATAAGAAGAAAAATTCTAAATGTTTCCTTTACTATATTATGTCGAATGTTCCTAATATATCATCTATGCAATAGATCATGATGACTTTGGCTTGATGAAACAAACTGCATGAGAACAAAGAAAAGGCACAAATAAGCCATCTTATTTGTCACATGGTTACATATACTTCACGTGAAGTTTGCATGAAGATTAATTTGAGATTACATGACAGCATATATAAAAAAGAGTATGTATGAAAATTTATCAGAGCTAAAACAAAATAAAATAAAATAAAATAAATAAACTTATTATTCCTACGGGTGTCTCACAAAAAGTATACTTCCAAATGAACTATTTTTTTCCAAATTAAAATACCCTAATGGTTCAATTTTTTTTGGGTGTATAGATTTCCAATTCTTTTTACAAATACCCAGTGCTTTCAATGAAGCTTTCTTGTTGCAACACCTATTTCAATTTTTACATAATTTTCCTTTTAGGCTTTGAGATTGTATGGTTAAAGTAAATTTGAAGTAAAAAAAAAGTGTAACTCGAGATTGTTAATTATGCACCATAAAATGGAGACAATTCTCAAAATTTCGATTAATTGTTAAGAATAATTAGTCCTTGGGAGATTAATCAACTGAAATAACACTATATATGGTAAATTAATTGTGAACCATGAGTATATTTTTATTTTTATTTTTATTACTAATAATTTAAATATTTGTCAAGTTTTTAATCTTTTTGTTAAGAAGTCAATGAGTAAACTTGGTTACTAAATTCATTTTTCACATCCATTTTATTTATTATTCTTATGTATATAATTAAAATGTTCATATGTATATTTAAAAAAAAACAAATATATATATATATATATATATATATATGTATATATATGTATATATATTTATATATATATATATATATGAATTTATTTATTTTTAATTTATAAGGTTCAAATGTTTTCAATTTTAATCAAAATCATATCATAGAATGTATGTATGTAAAATTATTTTAACACAATACAACATTTAAATATCTCGTTAATGAATCCTATTCACTTCAATTTGTACAATTAGTATTCTATAAACAACACATATATGTCCATATGTGTGAGTGTATATATATATATATATATATATGTATACACACATATATATAAACACACACATGATTTTAGATATGATAATCAATATATTTATTTTTAAAAGAATTGTTAAACTTTCAGAGACACTATAGTGCTCCGAATCAACAGTCATCATGTTTAATAATTTTCGAGTCATTTTTTCATTTCATTTCATATATATATATATATATGTGTGTGTGTGTGTGTGTGTGTATTAGAACTAATACCTTATTTGCTTCTTTACTAAAGTACAAAATTAAATAACCAATATCAAATTCACACAAAAAATCGAAGTCATACTGGAAAATACAAATGAAAATCATTAAAATGACTTTAATAAAATGGACGTTCAGGTGCATAAGTAAATGCACTTGGATGGCATTTTTTAAGGTTGCTCACTTCAACCCAAGAAAATTCAAGTGAGCAACTCATGAAATCTCCATTTAAGCCTAATGTAGAAGAACCTCAGCTGTAGATAGTGAAGCAACATGTACGTTCCTGGTAGAAGGAGAGGGAGATCGTGAAAGGAGCGCCAGGTTCGAATAACGGGGAACCGGGAACGAGAAACCGGATCCCCCGTTCGAAACGTGAGAATCCCTAAAACCCTGCCGAGTCCCACGTGGGAAGTTTGTTTCATGGTTTGTCATCGAGAAGTTGCTGCTTGCGATTAGAATCCTCGCAATAGATTGTTCGAATTCACCGCTGCATCGCCATGAAGCAGGTGTGGAAGATCGGCAGCATCTTCACGGCCGTCGTGGTGGCCTGGATCTCGTTGCTTCTCGCCAAGGATCTGCCTCCCTCGGTGCAACTCATCGTTCCATACGTAAGCTGCATCTGTTGCGCATTCGCTCTTTTGCACTCGTCGCTGTTGTTCGATTCCTGTGTCATTTCGTGAGATGCTACGGGAGGGAAAAAACAGAAAAAGCACGTTATTCAGGAGTATACGTGGTTATTTTCAGGTAAAGGTTACATGGCATCTGTGCCAGGCAGGCGTAACCTGTAGACTGAGCATTTATTTCTGTTTCTTTTCTTTTCTTTTTTTTATTTTTTTCAAGTCATTTAGAGTGGCGATGGTCCCAGCTTGTCGGCACAAGATTTTTGATGAGTGTGGGTGAGATTTTTTGTCTTTTGGTTTTGAGTCTGGATTTGACAGTTTAGTGTTTCTGAACATTCTGCAGATCCCGATGTTTGCGATTATGTCGTTAGGGTGTTATGGGCTAGGTGCGCTGGGTTACGGCATGATGGTGTTTCGGGTTTGTCCTGAGGAAGAAATCCTACTGCAAAAGGTACAAAGTCGTTTCTCACTGGTGAAATATTGTGCATATTCTGGTCCATTTCTAGCCTCATCAGTTGGTGTCCTTTTCTTCCTTTCATTCCCGTGAGAGGATGTCCTGCGTGGCTCTAACTCCACAGTAGTGCACTAAGGTAACAGAGTAATATAACTATCAGGATTCGTCTCTGACGGATAAACTTTGAATACAGGACATTGCGGAAGCAAAAGCATTTTTCAAGGAGCGTGGTGTTGACATGAGTGCAGACTAAACTGATTCTTCCAATGTCTCAGTTCACTTCAACGCCTTGTGACAAGATCTGCAGTTTTGTATCTGAACACTCACTGTCTGGAGACAACTCAGTCGATTTAGGGTCAACCAACTCCGGATTACAATGCATTCACATAGCGAGTTCCAAATTTGCGAAATCGTTGAATTGGATTATATTTCCTCCATGCACCTCAATGGAGAGGTGACACGGTTGTATAAAACAGGGGGTTTCCAGTAAGCCCAGTTTGCATACCGCTGGGAGTGTGTGGAGCTGTATTTGAACAGCCTGGGTGTGCATGAAAAGCAATCAAATGACTGCCATAGTTTGGGCAGTGTGATGGATATGAAAGTAAAAGTGAATCAGGAAGTTCATCTGCGAATTGGACTTGAGCAGCACAATGTGGCAGATGTGGGCGTACACTGAAAGACAGGGCTATCCAGGTGAAGTGGAACAAGCTCGCAAGTAGGCTTGTGCAACATCTGTGAAAGTGAACATGAAATTTCTGTACTTGCCTCTGTTGGAAACTGCTGAGTAAATGAATGATTCTGATGTTCTACCATTTCTGCATGTCGAACTTGTAGTAGGTTATCAGGCACATGAGGTTAAGATATTCAAATCTGCTCAATCAGAGAGCTCCTCATTGTGGTATATCACAGCTATCTGGATCCAAATTTGGTGCCACACACTACGAATTGTACTTCGCTCTGCAGGCAGGGTCAGACACTATGATGAGGCGGCAACTACTATCACCCTCCATCTACAAAATAAATAAATAAATAAAATAGCAATAATAGCATGGGGTGCAGTAACTAGAGTGCAGCAATTGCTTGGAAAGATTGACTCCGTGTGTGATTTTCGTTCGACATGTATGGTTGAGGGAACCATCGCCAGTAAACCACACCAATCATTTTGGATAATCCGTGTCTATGTGTGCTCTGAACCATGTTGTGAGAGGAATGGGCATGACACAAATACATAAACAAGAGATCCATTCACAGCAAAAACATGGATTATCCTAGTTTCGCCCACCACTGGCGAGGTAAGAACCACACAACCTAGATCATAACTCTTCCAATTTCAGCCACCTTGCACCCTTTGGACCTGGTGTGCACTGGGGGGAAATGTATCTCTGTAGGCAAGAAAAAAGAAATGCAACAGCTATTTTACTTACAGAAGACAAATTTATTTTTTCAAAACTTTGGTATGTGATTTTTCAGTTGATGAACTGCTCCAGAGGAAATGAACGTGTAGCATTGTAAATGATTTGGATAAAATTACAGACACGTTCTTTCTGTTACAAACAGTAACTGCGACAAGATTTTTGAGTGGGAATCAAAGATCGTGTTAAACCCCTACCGTGTGAATGTTGATACTCACATGAATGGCTCGATTCATACCGGCATTGTTGAGAAAGAGGGGCAGATGTAGGTGTCTGCTGGGCTCGTGAAGCAATTCTTCCCTTCTCCAGGCAGGCCCCACGACGAGTTATACCATGTGTTTTGGCGAGTCCGTAGGGTAGTGTCGGGTATAAGGTAGGGCGGAATGGGCTGCCAGAATCATACCTTTCTCGGCCTTTTGGCTAAGATCAAGTGTAGTATCTGTTCTTATCAGTTTAATATCTGATACGAGGCTCATCGAGCCTCATGATATTAATCTAATTTTTCTCGGGTGCGGGTCCATACGGCAGCTTGCTGCCCGGACTCGCAAGCGTCGCCTCGGTATTGCACTACCTCCTTGGCCGGCGCAGCCCTCCCCCCCCCCAAGGGGGACCCAATGCAAACACAAAATCGGACTTGTAGAATGACAAAATCGGACTTGTAGAATGACAAAATCGGACTTGTAGAATGAGTAGCTGCCTGTCGAGAACGTCGACTGCAGCCCTCAACCTCCAAGCGGCTAGAATTGAGCGGCTGCGGTGCACCGCTGCTGTCAGTTCCCATCATGGGAACCACTCCGAAGAATGGACATCACCCTCGATGGAGGAGCCGCTACATTTCCCTGCCTAGATGCGTGCAATATACACTCCGCCTCACGGGCGAGCATAAGTGCGCTTTGAATCCCCACTTGGAAGAAAACGAAAGCGCCGACCGGCAGCAGATTGCGGATTGGCGTAGTCAAGAGCTGGTCTTTGCTTCACCAAGCCTCGTGTCCAGTAGTCTTGTGCAAGCATGCCGAGAGAGAGAGACTGTGGTAGATTTCAGAGTGGGAAGCAACCCCTCAATCCCTATGGCTTCTGTCTTGTGTGCACTAATCTCCTTTGTTTCGGAACCTTAGTGAAAGGCTTTGAGCCTGGAGGGAAGAACCGAACCGCGCTCGACGCTGCGAATACGAACTTCGTAAGAATACAAATACAATTTTGAATTCAGTAATGCAAAGAGCGGAAAAGCATGAACGGTGCTCCGTGTCGCAGCTTCATAGTTTTGGACTTCAACTTCCGCATGTGTATTTGGTTCAAATGAACGAAGTCCTTGTTGGTTTGTGCACTTGGTTAGATTTCCGAGATTACATAGTGTGTACAGTAGATCTGTTCACGGTGGAATTCGACTACTAATATTTTTTGTTAAACTGAGCAGGTGGTGGGCGTGGAGGTGCGTGGTTTAGAAAGGAATAAATGTGAAGCATGCACCAAGGTTGTCATGGGAGCAGCCACCTTCCTCGGGCACCGCAGGACAGTGGTGAAATTGAGAAACGTTTCGAAGCACCGGTGGTCTAGTGGTAGAATAGTACCCTGCCACGGTACAGACCCGGGTTCGATTCCCGGCCGGTGCAGGCAGTCGAACTGCCATGCTAGCTGGAATAGCTCAGTTGGTTAGAGCGTGTGGCTGTTAACCACAAGGTCGGAGGTTCGACCCCTCCTTCTAGCGCTGTCAGTGCCAAATCCACCTCCCCCGACATTTTGCAAACCCGCCAGACCACTGCCAACGCTTTTGAGCTCCATCACAGATGCCTCCATTCTACTCCTCTTTGCCCCACTGCCCCCTTCACTCCCATCCCCACAAACATGCATCCTACCTGACACCCCTCTCAAAACTCCTCATCTCTTGCCTTGCCCTACCCCATCACTTACATGCCACATAGTATCCCCCCTCCCTCCTCCTCCCTTTTTTTTTTTTTTTTTTTTTTTTTCTTCTTCTTCTTCTTCTTCTTCTTGTCTATGTGATCCCACTTTTCAACAAAATCCCCATCTCCTGCCTTTGCATCTAAATAGGACATCACCATTATTCAAATGTAAAGACATCCATAAGTACATCTCTTTGTACCATTTCTATATAAATTTAAGTTTATACAAAAGCATACAAGATGACATTCATTGCAATATTTATTGCTTGCAATTTGGATCCATCATATTAAGAGAATAAGAAAAAATCATAGATGCTATACTTAGAAAAAGTAAGAATAGATTTGGAACTATTGTGGATCTTCATGAGCTTCTTAACATTCTTAAGATCGAAATTTCACGCATCACCAACGTTAACCATAGAAGCATTATTTCTACATTTATGGAAGAAGTCCAAAGTCTACACTAAGAAGTTGTGTAATTGAAGGACGTAAGGAGATTAGCCTCCAATAGGATATAGTAATAAAACAATGTCAACACAAATTAAAATAAATAGAAACTTCATGACTTTAGTAAAGGCAATACAATCATATTTTTATCTCAAAGTTCATAATATTTTTAATCCAAAATTTGATACACCTTGACATGGGCCATAGAAGATTTAGCTCATATTACCTAAAAATATAATTCTATTTATAAATATGAAAACCTATAATTTACATACCATTATCATAAACACAAATAAACCTTGTCAATACAAACTCAAGTTCTTGGTTACTATGTACCAATATGCTACTCTCTTTAAACACATCAATAAGATCCTTGAGGACAATGCCAAGCCATATTCATCATATAATCACGATTCTATGTTGAATCCAAAACAACATTTTAACATTATCGATGCCTATATCACCATCTCATCATTTGAACAAGATATATATACCAAGCACCATATCTGTCGAATGATAAAAAAAAGGTAATTTTTTGCTATATATGCCGTGGTTATTTTAAATGATGGAAAGTCATCAAGTAATATTCTTAGCTACTATTAAGATTTTCAGGACATTTTAGAAAAGAAAAATACACATATTCTCTTAGAGCATCAATCATATGATTGTTCAATTGATTTGCGAGAAGGAACTCAATTACCATTTAGATCAATCTACAATTTATTGCAAAATGAATTAGTTGCATTAAAGAAGTATATTGATAAGAATTTGGCTAAGATTGTTATACTTCATTCAAAAAAAGCATAAATCTCTACAAATGTGCATAAACTATCAAGGACTTAATAAGATTACCATCAAGAATAGGTATCTCTTATTTCTAATTTCAAGTCTACTTTACCAATTCAATCAAATAAAGACTCAAGATTCTTATGACTTATATACATGGTGATTGGACTAGAAGCACCTTCTAAATAGTGATGCTATTTCTAAAAAGAATCCTTAATTGAAATAAGTTATTAATTTTGGATTTTGTAGTTGATCTCTATTGTTGAATATTTCATGGAATGAAAAGCTATTGGATGGAGCTTGTCATCTACTCCCATTTGTGACAATATTCAACTCAAGGCAAAATCTAATGCACTTGTTTCCTTAAAAGAATGCCTTAAAAAAGTCAATGCAATATAAGATTGGTGCAAAAATAAATTCTTTCTTCAAAGCATCAAATATTGCTTCAGCTTTTTTATCCTACTCAAGTTTGTCTTTACAAGTCAAACGTGTAAGTGGAGTTGCAACTTAAGAAAAGCTTTTGATAAAGATCTAGTAGTTATTTGCAAATCTCAAAAAACATTGCATATTTTTTGTTGTTCTTAAAATTTTCCAATCTATGATAGTGTAGACCTTCTTCGGATCCATCATTAACTTTTGTAGAAATGATGTATTTTAGGAAGTTAACTTAAGTAATGTAGAATGCATGCTTTACCATCTTGGTATATAATCATGTATATATAAGTTTTTGTAACACATGACGAATATGAAATTCAAGTTCTTCTATATTTTTAGAATAGATTAGAATATTGTCTAAATAGTAGATATCAAAATCATTAATAAACTCATAGTAAATATTATTTATGGGATATAAAAAACTAGTTGGTATGTTTGTGAGTCCAAAAAGCATGACATCAAATTTAAAATATCCATATCTAGTTTGAAAAACAGTCTTCTATTCATTTCTTTCTTTGATATGAATGAAGTTGTATGCTCTTTGTAGTTTTATTTTTGTGTAGGTCTTTATTTGATTGAATTGGTAAAGTAGACTTGAAATTAGAAATAAGAGATACCTATTCTTGATGGTAATCTTATTAAGTCCTTGATAGTTTATGCACATTTGTAGAGATTTATGCTTTTTTTGAATGAAGTATAACAATCTTAGCCAAATTCTTATCAATATACTTCTTTAATGCAACTAATTCATTTTGCAATAAATTGTAGATTGATCTAAATGGTAATTGAGTTCCTTCTCGCAAATCAATTGAACAATCATATGATTGATGCTCTAAGAGAATATGTGTATTTTTCTTTTCTAAAATGTCCTGAAAATCTTAATAGTAGCTAAGAATATTACTTGATGACTTTCCATCATTTAAAATAACCACGGCATATATAGCAAAAAATTACCTTTTTTTTATCATTCGACAGATATGGTGCTTGGTATATATATCTTGTTCAAATGATGAGATGGTGATATAGGCATCGATAATGTTAAAATGTTGTTTTGGATTCAACATAGAATCGTGATTATATGATGAATATGGCTTGGCATTGTCCTCAAGGATCTTATTGATGTGTTTAAAGAGAGTAGCATATTGGTACATAGTAACCAAGAACTTGAGTTTGTATTGACAAGGTTTATTTGTGTTTATGATAATGGTATGTAAATTATAGGTTTTCATATTTATAAATAGAATTATATTTTTAGGTAATATGAGCTAAATCTTCTATGGCCCATGTCAAGGTGTATCAAATTTTGGATTAAAAATATTATGAACTTTGAGATAAAAATATGATTGTATTGCCTTTACTAAAGTCATGAAGTTTCTATTTATTTTAATTTGTGTTGACATTGTTTTATTACTATATCCTATTGGAGGCTAATCTCCTTACGTCCTTCAATTACACAACTTCTTAGTGTAGACTTTGGACTTCTTCCATAAATGTAGAAATAATGCTTCTATGGTTAACGTTGGTGATGCGTGAAATTTCGATCTTAAGAATGTTAAGAAGCTCATGAAGATCCACAATAGTTCCAAATCTATTCTTACTTTTTCTAAGTATAGCATCTATGATTTTTTCTTATTCTCTTAATATGATGGATCCAAATTGCAAGCAATAAATATTGCAATGAATGTCATCTTGTATGCTTTTGTATAAACTTAAATTTATATAGAAATGGTACAAAGAGATGTACTTATGGATGTCTTTACATTTGAATAATGGTGATGTCCTATTTAGATGCAAAGGCAGGAGATGGGGATTTTGTTGAAAAGTGGGATCACATAGACAAGAAGAAGAAGAAGAAGAAGAAGAAAAAAAAAAAAAAAAAAAAAAAAAAGGAGGAGGAGGGAGGGGGGATACTATGTGGCATGTAAGTGATGGGGTAGGGCAAGGCAAGAGATGAGGAGTTTTGAGAGGGGTGTCAGGTAGGATGCATGTTTGTGGGGATGGGAGTGAAGGGGGCAGTGGGGCAAAGAGGAGTAGAATGGAGGCATCTGTGATGGAGCTCAAAAGCGTTGGCAGTGGTCTGGCGGGTTTGCAAAATGTCGGGGGAGGTGGATTTGGCACTGACAGCGCTAGAAGGAGGGGTCGAACCTCCGACCTTGTGGTTAACAGCCACACGCTCTAACCAACTGAGCTATTCCAGCTAGCATGGCAGTTCGACTGCCTGCACCGGCCGGGAATCGAACCCGGGTCTGTACCGTGGCAGGGTACTATTCTACCACTAGACCACCGGTGCTTCGAAACGTTTCTCAATTTCACCACTGTCCTGCGGTGCCCGAGGAAGGTGGCTGCTCCCATGACAACCTTGGTGCATGCTTCACATTTATTCCTTTCTAAACCACGCACCTCCACGCCCACCACCTGCTCAGTTTAACAAAAAATATTAGTAGTCGAATTCCACCGTGAACAGATCTACTGTACACACTATGTAATCTCGGAAATCTAACCAAGTGCACAAACCAACAAGGACTTCGTTCATTTGAACCAAATACACATGCGGAAGTTGAAGTCCAAAACTATGAAGCTGCGACACGGAGCACCGTTCATGCTTTTCCGCTCTTTGCATTACTGAATTCAAAATTGTATTTGTATTCTTACGAAGTTCGTATTCGCAGCGTCGAGCGCGGTTCGGTTCTTCCCTCCAGGCTCAAAGCCTTTCACTAAGGTTCCGAAACAAAGGAGATTAGTGCACACAAGACAGAAGCCATAGGGATTGAGGGGTTGCTTCCCACTCTGAAATCTACCACAGTCTCTCTCTCTCGGCATGCTTGCACAAGACTACTGGACACGAGGCTTGGTGAAGCAAAGACCAGCTCTTGACTACGCCAATCCGCAATCTGCTGCCGGTCGGCGCTTTCGTTTTCTTCCAAGTGGGGATTCAAAGCGCACTTATGCTCGCCCGTGAGGCGGAGTGTATATTGCACGCATCTAGGCAGGGAAATGTAGCGGCTCCTCCATCGAGGGTGATGTCCATTCTTCGGAGTGGTTCCCATGATGGGAACTGACAGCAGCGGTGCACCGCAGCCGCTCAATTCTAGCCGCTTGGAGGTTGAGGGCTGCAGTCGACGTTCTCGACAGGCAGCTACTCATTCTACAAGTCCGATTTTGTCATTCTACAAGTCCGATTTTGTCATTCTACAAGTCCGATTTTGTGTTTGCATTGGGTCCCCCTTGGGGGGGGGGAGGGCTGCGCCGGCCAAGGAGGTAGTGCAATACCGAGGCGACGCTTGCGAGTCCGGGCAGCAAGCTGCCGTATGGACCCGCACCCGAGAAAAATTAGATTAATATCATGAGGCTCGATGAGCCTCGTATCAGATATTAAACTGATAAGAACAGATACTACACTTGATCTTAGCCAAAAGGCCGAGAAAGGTATGATTCTGGCAGCCCATTCCGCCCTACCTTATACCCGACACTACCCTACGGACTCGCCAAAACACATGGTATAACTCGTCGTGGGGCCTGCCTGGAGAAGGGAAGAATTGCTTCACGAGCCCAGCAGACACCTACATCTGCCCCTCTTTCTCAACAATGCCGGTATGAATCGAGCCATTCATGTGAGTATCAACATTCACACGGTAGGGGTTTAACACGATCTTTGATTCCCACTCAAAAATCTTGTCGCAGTTACTGTTTGTAACAGAAAGAACGTGTCTGTAATTTTATCCAAATCATTTACAATGCTACACGTTCATTTCCTCTGGAGCAGTTCATCAACTGAAAAATCACATACCAAAGTTTTGAAAAAATAAATTTGTCTTCTGTAAGTAAAATAGCTGTTGCATTTCTTTTTTCTTGCCTACAGAGATACATTTCCCCCCAGTGCACACCAGGTCCAAAGGGTGCAAGGTGGCTGAAATTGGAAGAGTTATGATCTAGGTTGTGTGGTTCTTACCTCGCCAGTGGTGGGCGAAACTAGGATAATCCATGTTTTTGCTGTGAATGGATCTCTTGTTTATGTATTTGTGTCATGCCCATTCCTCTCACAACATGGTTCAGAGCACACATAGACACGGATTATCCAAAATGATTGGTGTGGTTTACTGGCGATGGTTCCCTCAACCATACATGTCGAACGAAAATCACACACGGAGTCAATCTTTCCAAGCAATTGCTGCACTCTAGTTACTGCACCCCATGCTATTATTGCTATTTTATTTATTTATTTATTTTGTAGATGGAGGGTGATAGTAGTTGCCGCCTCATCATAGTGTCTGACCCTGCCTGCAGAGCGAAGTACAATTCGTAGTGTGTGGCACCAAATTTGGATCCAGATAGCTGTGATATACCACAATGAGGAGCTCTCTGATTGAGCAGATTTGAATATCTTAACCTCATGTGCCTGATAACCTACTACAAGTTCGACATGCAGAAATGGTAGAACATCAGAATCATTCATTTACTCAGCAGTTTCCAACAGAGGCAAGTACAGAAATTTCATGTTCACTTTCACAGATGTTGCACAAGCCTACTTGCGAGCTTGTTCCACTTCACCTGGATAGCCCTGTCTTTCAGTGTACGCCCACATCTGCCACATTGTGCTGCTCAAGTCCAATTCGCAGATGAACTTCCTGATTCACTTTTACTTTCATATCCATCACACTGCCCAAACTATGGCAGTCATTTGATTGCTTTTCATGCACACCCAGGCTGTTCAAATACAGCTCCACACACTCCCAGCGGTATGCAAACTGGGCTTACTGGAAACCCCCTGTTTTATACAACCGTGTCACCTCTCCATTGAGGTGCATGGAGGAAATATAATCCAATTCAACGATTTCGCAAATTTGGAACTCGCTATGTGAATGCATTGTAATCCGGAGTTGGTTAACCCTGGGTCCTCTTGGTGTTATTGCAGCAAGGTGTTGTTTCCAGACTAACATGTCTGAATCATGACTTGAAGCCGATACCAAACCGACACAATTTTTTCAATTTACTTAGCCGTAATTTGTAGAAAATAGAAAAACAAGGACATTCGCTACATTCAGGAATCGACTTGGATAGGAACTTAACTCAAAGAATGAACAATTTCTGGGTGAAGGATACAGTACATTTGAGAGTTGGCCAGACTAAGAACCGGATTAGAGCACGAGCTTTACTCAGTCAACAGGTGGATTGCAACATCTCCAACATCACATCCTGCAAGTTTTTCTACAAAATCTCTGCATCTTCAGCAGCAGTCTAGTGCCTAGCAGTTAGCTCAAGTTAAAATTGATTCTCACCTACACCTATTCCATAAAGAAATCTAGAAGTGCAGACTAAATCGACTAGTCATTTACAGCGAGTGAACACCAGCTTGTATCGAATGATGCATGGAGTCGGAGCTTAAACTTTGTTTTGAGATACTAGTTCAATTGCACTACCAAGGGGCCAAGCAGTTTCTACAAAGGACCCACTGTATCTCACCTTTTTGACTAGCGTAATCTTCGTATCTGGTTGCACCTGAAACCCTGACACGAGGAGTGAATACTGATATGTCAAATCCATGCACAAGAACTTTCTAGTATCCTCTTTTAGCTTCGGATACTCTTCAGCTAGCTCATCAATACTAAGCACGCAGATTTTCTTAGCAGCTGCTTCAAAATCTGAGGGCATGACCACTGCCTCTGCGGCATCAGGATCTGTTACGATCCCTGCCTCAAGAGCTCGATCAAAAAAGAAGGATGCCACAAATAGCGACTTCATTCCAGCACCGCCGCCTCCACTCCAGGTTCCTCCAAAAGTGCACTTAAGGCTGTCACAAGTTTGATCCACTTTGAGAGCGTTAACAACAAGCGTTCTACATTTCTTGTAATCTCCGCCATCCGCGCTTGCACTTGCCTTGTATTCCTGTCCAGCATATATGTATGAGCCTTCAAAGCCCTTAGCAAGACAAGGGCAGGATTTGGACTCATCCACAAGCTTCAAAACTTCCGCCCTGGCAGCCAACAATCCGTAGCTGAGGTAGCTGTGCACATATAAGTTGTATGAGGTTCCCAAGAGGCTCATTCTCCTTACATAAGCTTGTTCACCACTGCGGGGTTTAGGAGCTGACAAAAAATCATTATCAGAAATTGCATACGCCATTTGAACAGAACCTCCACCAAGATCCACAATGCCGACTGTTTGATCGAAGGATTGCCCAAGGCGCTTTAGTAAATAATTGACTGTGACCCACTGGTACGAGCCCTCTTGTGTTCCATCTATGATACTCACCCATTCGGGCTTGAATTTGAATGAGCTTTCCATCAACAAGGTATCAACCTCTTTCAAAAGGTTAGTAGCTTGATCTCCAGGAAGGAGTCTAAGACCCGCGGTTGCACCAAGAAGTACAGGTGTAGTCCTATACTGTTCAGCAGGGACAACTTTCAGAGCTATGTCCAGCAAAGGCTGCAAAGACGCTGCTCCCTCCTTTGGACTAAGCGCATAAGAACTCAGTCCATGAGGAAGCTGCTTAAACACTTCAAATTCATCCCCAACTTTGACAAGCTGTAAATTCTTGTCAAAAGAAAACACATGCACTCTGCTACCGGAGCTTCCTGCGTCGAAAATGACTGCATATCGCTTCTGTTCCGGAACTCTCACATTGTTGCTGGGAAGTTCGTAATTAGAGTCGTATCTGGCAGCACTGGGCGGATCAAGAATGCGCGGCATCAGCACCAAGACTACTGAGATGAGAGCGAGAGGCACACAAACAACAAAGATCACTCCCCTGTACCGGTGGCATTTCTCAGGAAATGTCTCTCTACGGAGTCTCCTCATTTTTACTCAAGCTCTTGAGACTAAGCAGGTTCCCCTTCTTGAGGCTGCAGCTCAGACTCAAATAGAACACCAGTTGCCTTTCTCCAGATCCGAATTGTCTTGAAGCGTACCCTAAAGAATTGCGTTTTCCAGATCTTGATTGACCTTGAATTCTGCTTCAAGCAATATAAGAAGTTAGAAGTGTATACATGCACTACAGGGCACTTGCACTCATAGTTGCAATTCATCAAAACTTGTACTTCCAGTCTGACCATACCCACAGCCCTAATCACTTCGGAGCATGTGAACTAACTAGTAGCCAACCAACAACATTAAATAGAGGATTCTACACAGAAAATAATAATATTATATCTTGTAAATTACGACATTATTTTTCGTTGACACAAATTTTAAATTTCAACACCTTGAGGTGTCATTAGACAAGTATTGCCTCTTTGGTTGAGAAAAACTACAAAAACAGACTAGGAGAGTGTTTATTCTCGGATTCTGAAAAGCATGGCATGACGCCAATCACTCACAGATGAAAGTCTCTACTAAAGATGTCCTGGTAGAGCAGAGAGCGAGCTGAGGTTAACCAGCTATCATCAGTAATAAATTTCACAACTGGCAAACCCAAAAGCATATAGAATTACTCATAACTTGAATAACCCAAAAAAGTTACGTTACAATTGAATCTGAATGTGTATCCATGTAAAGAACGAGTCCCATCACATCTTCGTGAACAAGTTTGAAACGGTTAATCTGCCAACTCCGTCGACCTTATTGTCCCACTACTCTTTTGTGAGGGGGTCGGCGGAGCCGCTATACTAAGCGGATTTGAAGTCAATCAAGCCATGGGAGTACTGAATCGAAAGTCATGATTCGTTTCACAGAAACAATGCACGACGATGCTGACGAATTCTTTCAGTATGGCTGTCTAGGTCGACCATGTCTCACGCATTTGAAAGAAATTCCTAAACCGCTTCTATGAAGAACATACGTGGACCCATCTGTTAAATATCTTAAGTTCACCTGCATTGATCATTCACCATCTCAGGCGAGTTAGATATTTTTCGTGTCCTGCTATCAGATCATAACCAAGGATATTTTTTCGCTCAGGATCTTGTAGACAAACAGTTGAAAAGCTTTGTTAGAAGCTGTCTTTCAAAAATAAATATAAAACACCCGACTTACACACCTATACGTTGGCACAAGAACCGAAATAGAAGTGCATCTAGGGACACCACATCGCTTCCCATTGTGCTACTTGATACGCACTACAAATTTGAGTGAAAGCATCATAGTAAGCGAAGAATGGCTTTGCTAACCTTGGTCAATCTTTGACAGCGTTCAAGAGAAAATTTGCGTAAAAGACAATACAAAAATCCCAAAAAATATAAAATGCAATACACATTCCGTAATGCCACATTTCGTAAGCAGTGTTTCGGGATCTACACGTACAAAATATAAGCACCAAAAACACGATTCCTTACGAAGCAAGAAACGAACATTGCACACCTGAAAGGTTTCGAAAAGTTGGGATATATTTACCCCAACTCATGCCCACGAACAAATTCATGAACTTGGGCACCAAGATCTACAAAACTCTCACCTCAGCACGCCGACCGCTGAAAACGACCCAAGCGTAAGCAATGACACCTCTGCGTCAACAGACTACAATAATTGCATCTCATTCTCACACCGAACGCACTTTTCCACACAAACCACCAGATCTACACAAAAACCCCTCGAACACACAAAATCTGCTCGGGAACAAGACTCACCGGAGAAGAAACGGAATTCCAGCTCGTACACGTCCACGCAGCGCCGAAGCATCCAGCGAAGAATCGGCCGTCAACAGGCGCAACCGCTACGCTGATACCCGCGCACAAAGATGTCCACGCGACGCTGCGGAGCAAATGCTCTGGAACGAGGGAAAAATCACGTGCGCGATCTCTCGACGCACGGACTTTCATGGCCATAGCCTCATTGCTTGCGCCATAATGTTTTCACGGCGCGATGTGCTCCCGTTAGATATGAGAACCGGGATCATACCCGGGAGGAACCTGTGAAGTTGAGATCTAGGTATCCTCCAAATACAAACATGAACCGGGGTAATCGGTCTAGCATGATGGAGAACACGGGTTCCCGTGACGGGAACATAGTACCCTCACTTGGGAACAAGTTCGGGAACTTCGTCTTGCCCCTGCCTACCACATCCGAGTTGCCATTCCGACGACTGCGAGAAAACATCAACGCGTTAACCGAGCGTATTGAAGTAGCACGGAGGGAAGCGTGGCGTGGATTGTCAGCTCGTGGAAGTGTTGCAGCAGCGCGGACGGGCAGGATCGGACATTTTGAGGTAAAGACTCGGTGTTTGTTGCAGTGTATTGCCGATGTTTGAAGCGTTTCATAGCGTTTGGAGACACTTGAGCGGCACCTTCAAATAGCTGTGCGTGTGAACAGTTGGTCGAAGGATTGCTTGGGATATTTGTTTACGGGAGGATAGTGATCTGCATCGGGTCGGATTATTTTTGTTTGTTTCAAGGGATGGAGAGATGAATTTGTTGCGGTGGATCGTATGTTTTGGAGTCTGTGCACGAAGTCACGGCTGTCGATTGCTGCGGGGAGCGTGGTACAGATCTATGGAGGGGTATTTGGTTTAATTGTTTGACGTGGAGTTGCTGGGACTCAAGAAAGGTTTGATCACTTCGATTTGTATGATTGCCCTTGAATCCGCGCTGGCGGCGCTAGAATCGAGCTCTAGGACTTGCATTTCACCGCAATGCGGCATGATGTTACCATTTCATTTCTTGAACAAGACCGATTTCGTTTGTGTGAAGGTGAACGTGAGGTTGAAAATATATGCAATCTCTAATGTCTATTGTTCCTTTGAGGGTGAGGTGTCGGAGATGGATGTAAGACTTCAATTAAGTCAATTGAATGTGGACGCTGGGTTTAGTCTGGAAAGATTTTGAACGATTCGATTTCGATCTGATGATAACTTTCAGTCCATCGGGTGTGCCCTATTAGTATCATGATCCGCTTCAAAGAGCACTGGCAATAGGTTTCAATATTATTTAGGCAGAGTATCCAGTGAGAATCTTGTCACTGATTTTGCGTGGTACCCGTTACGATTGCTTTCCTAGGGTTTTTGGGATTCCAGACTACCGCTTAAATTTTTTTGTGCTGTGTAAATTTGAAGACTGCCTCATGCAGAAGAAGCTAATTAATACTCTGAGGTTTAAGGGTTTCCTAGCAACATCACAGTCGTGTATGTACCTGTCCTATGACATTAGACATTCAGAAGATAGGCACTGTTTGGTAATCATATGATTTATGAATTTCGTGTGACATAGCATTTGTAAATTTCAGATAGAGCAGACCACAATGGCGAAGTGATCTGTATCAACGGTGCACAAACTTTGGAAAGCTTAAATTATTGGTGGAAATTTGTTAGTTTAGTCAACAGGAACTATGACGATTTCAAATCTAATTCACATCTTGCCTGGATCGTGTAACTGCTAAATAGTGGCTCAAGCCAGGAATTTTTTGTACAGATTTCCCCATATCTATGTTTTCTGTACTTTATTGTCTCTCCATTTTTGTAATGCTCAGGCAAAGAAGTAACCTTAGTCTGATTTTTATTTGATAGTTGGATGTTATTAGATAAGTCTATCTATGGGATAACTTGATATTGAAGGTAGAAAATAGTCTGCTAGTTAATGAGTTAGTAACGCAAGGGCTTTCGTTGCTCCATGAATGTGTTCGATTGTGCGCTAATATTGCTGTAAAAGTGTATCTCTGCAGAAAAGCGAGACCATTGTGCAGTACGTTATAGCAATTAAAAGCCTCACATCTTTACTAGGACAACCTCGCAGAGGTTATTGCCAGATCCTGACTTTTCTAGTAAACAGATTTTTGACAGGGCTATCAGAGGTGTTCAGAAGGGACGACAAAGACCAGCATGTCAACAGAGGGAGGACTGCATGTTCTTGATGGATCTCAGATCAGAAATGCATTACCCGATCTTCAATCGAGGAACAGTTTTTCTAAGAATGATGAAGGGTCGAAAGGGTATCTGACACCATCTGAGATGCGGCAGGCTGCGGAAGCAGAAGCAGCCGCTCTTCTCTTAGGTGTCCAACTTTCCTCAAAGATTTTTGAAAATGCTGCATCAAAACTTCCAACTGAAGATTCTGCAGAGATCACGGAGGACGTGTTTTCCAGTACTCTGCAGAGTTATCTAACAGCAATTGCTGATGCTTTAGAAGGTAAGTTCTTAGAGCGAGTGCGTCAGCTGTTTGGTTGGTCAATCCATTTGGTTCATGGCTTTTCATATTTTTGGAAAAAGGTGTCCTGCTAGTTTGTCCATGTCAGTTCATGGTCATTCTGTCTCCAGGGATTTTACCTTAGCGTTTTAGAAGAAAAATGTTTTAGTAACAGATGGGAAATACTGCAAGAGCGTTTGGTTGTTGAAGGGCCTACAGTTGTAAACTAGGCGATCACAAGTGCATTGCTTCATTGAGCTTTCGCATGGACTCAATCCAGCTATTGATCTCAATCTTTGTTTTTTCTAAAACATTTTTTCACACAGATGAGCCGGTAGTAGTGTCAGTACTAGACGGCTCAGCAATTAAGGCTTTGCTAGAAGATGAAGATGATTTTGCGATGGTTGCCGAGGATCTGTTTGAGAAGTTAGACACTGATGAGAGTGGCAAGCTGAGCAGCAAAGAGCTTCGACCTGCCATTATGCAGCTGGGCGTTGAGCAGGGTGTCCCTCCTGCCGCAGGTGTGCTGGCTCTCTTGAACTTATAACCACTAATAGTCGTGAGCTCCTCAAATGGCTTCGTGCATATCTACATTTGTTTATACGATTAAAAGAAGGCTCACGTCGAGTTGGTGATTGCGTCTTTTTTTAACTTGCATCTTGAATTCAGTGTAAATGTTGAATGAGGTCTGAGTGGCATTTGCAGCTACTACTGAAGCGGAGGAATTGGTTACCAAGTTGATCAACAAGTACGGCCAGGGAACCGAGGAGCTTGGACAAGCTCAATTTGCTGCATTATTGCAAGATGTCCTTCAGGATATGGCCGAGTCTCTTGCAGAGAAACCTATCACAATTGTACGAGATGTGAAAATGCTCAACGGCTCTCATTTGCGAAAGGTTGGTTTTTGTGACCATTCCTGTTTTTCACCTTTAGCAGGTTAATCACAGCTGTTATATGCTTTCTAGAGGTATTCCCAGTGGCAGATTAGTGGCGAAACCTCGTTTGTAGTCTACCTACAGCGGAATCCTGACATTCGGTTGGAGCAACACATAGATAGATGTTCTCACCTTGCTGCTGTACAATTTGATGATGCAGATGCTGGCTGATGAGAAGGCATTCAAGGAAATGGCAGATAACATGTTTAATGACCTAGATGTCAACAAAGATCAACGCTTGAGCAAGGCTGAAATCAGACCATTATTTGAACAACAAACTGCAGCGTGGGGTCTACCTCCCGTTGGTGATTCGGACACAGAAGAACTATTTGACGAGGTTTTCAAGGCCGTTGACTCAGACAAAAGTGGGGAAGTTGAAAAGCCTGAGTTTGCAGTTCTTGTCAAGACTCTCCTTGCGGATTTTGCGGAAACGTTGCGGCTCAACCCAATACTAGTGGAGATAGAAACTGCCTCTCGTTGAAGCATCGAGTCATAGTTCTGGGGGAGCGATGTTTTCTAAAGTCGTAGTCCATTTTTGGATAAGATGACTTTGCACCCAGAGTTCTTGTGAAACGTGACACCAGGTATGATGAAGGCTTGATGATATTTTAGAGTGACAATTTTATGTGGCTAGAGGCTCATGAGGTCGTGAGATCGAAGTGGAAATGATTTGTGAAAGCTACTTCGACCTGGGTAGCTTTTCTAAGCTAGGATAGTTATATGAAAAAGATAATTAAACTTCAAGCGGATCAATATAGCTCACAGAATCCATTCTTCGTTTCTGTTTCCTGAGAACCCACCAATGTCCAAGTTACAAAACTCCGTGGGAGAAACAGACGTGCAGTGCATGCATAAGGTTGGTGTGATTGTTTGCGTAGTGATGTTTCTGGATGACTTGAATAGAATCAAGTGCATAGATAGTCAATTGTCTCACACAAGATCTTCGAACAATCCACCAACCGGCGTTGCCAGTCGTGCGGAGGGCACGGTTGGTGGGACGGACTAGCGGTGCGACGCGTGTAGAGAATGCATTGGCGGCTGCAGATTAGACAGTTGTTCGCATCCGTTGTAGGATAGATCGTTAGGATACTCGACTCTTACCTGTGTTCGAATTCCGGCATCGGAAGCCCCCGAGTGAAAATTGGACTACACATCTTTTCTATTTTCTTTTATTCATTGTCCTCTCTGCCAGGTCTACCCTCCTCATCGTTGCAGTCCTCCCGGCGAGAACCGGACACCCGCACACGGATGGAGTGCCCTTCGAACTCCTCTGTTCCCTGGACTGTACATGGAACTCACTCCATCACTCTCAATCAAACACACTTAATCTCTAACTAGGTGCCTCTTCTAAATTTGCACCCAAATCAAGCTCCAGCCCAACCCCCAAGCCACCCCTCCAAACCACCCATGAAGCCATGCGAAATTCACTATGTATTTTTACAAAAATCTGTGCAGCACGCAACCATTGACGAAAGACGAGGAGCCTAAATGAGGAGGAGGCTAAATGAGTTGAAAAAGGCTGCGTCAAAATTTGGGCAGCACTTGGTCTAGACCCCAGATGTACATAAAAAAGGGAGAGCGGTGATACCTTATCACATTTGAGGGCATATTTGCTATTATCACAAAATTAAGGAGAAGATTTGCTAGTATTACAATAATAAAAGGAAGATTTGCTGTTATCAAAATAAGAATATTGAAAATATGTAATTTCTTAAATGAATAAATTTATTTTTTATTAATAATTTTTATTTACTTATTT